GCCCCGCCCCGCCCGGCGGCTAGCAGGCCCCAGACGGGCGGCCCCGCCCGGCTGGGACCCCGGCTCGCGCGGGCCTGTGGACTGGGGCCTTCAGACACCACCGACCTGGGCGGCCATGTGTGACGCCGTGGTCTGGTCAAAGACGGACGAGCGGGAAGGGTCAGGCGTGGAAGTGAATGCCGTTTGCAGCCGCGGCCTTGGGCGGGCTGTTTGGCCCTTCACGCCGTCGTGCATTTCTTACACGAAGGAGGAGGACAAGAGTGGACCTGCCACACCGGACTGTTGTAAACTTCCGGAGAGGTCGTGAACGTGAGGAGAGACTGGTCAGAAGAGCCTCAGCTGTTTCAGGGACAGCGACCTCTTCACGCCCCAAGCACCCCCGAGTCACCAGGAAAGCCAGCAGCCGAGATGTGACGCTTTTCTATCTCCATTCCCTCCGCTCTGGCTACGCGTCAGCTGGCGGGATTGCCAACGCTGGCGTGAGCCCGAGTCCAGTTCGTGGAAGGAGAGAAGGCTGTACTTCACAGGGTCCCCAGGTGTACTCAAGCATCAGGGTCCCTCAATCACCCCCTCCGTGTTTGCGTCACCGTCTGAATGCTGTCCAGTGGGGCCAGCCACCCTGCTCTGTGTCTCCGGCTGGGGAAGACTCGCTGCCTGCTTCCTCTCCCAGATCAGAGACTTCTCAGGTGTGGAGAAATTTGCTCCTGAAGGGAATGACCATCAAACCGGGATATCTGGAGATCACAGAGACTTTCCCAGGGATGTCTGGGCACGGGAAGTCTTGGGAAATGAGCATCTAGACCCTCATGGTCCCCAAAACTCTTTCCCAAAACTGATGAGCCTGAAAATGTGCCTGCCAGGCAGCCTCTTGGGGTTCCCCTAAAACACTTCCTCTTTTACTGTTGCTTTCTCCCACTTGGTGAAATGCCTACCTCTCACCCATCACGATATAATTAACTGCCCCAGATGTAAACAACCTCCATAGTGCTAAACAGAAGGGTGGATGGAAGCATTGACACCTTATGGAACTGTCGTGGCCAACTGTCATGGCCAGCACTTTTGCAAAAAAGTTGTGTCAGACCTGCTTTCAACAAAATTGAAGGTGGCCCTAATAGCATTAACAGCTGATAATGAAAACGGAGTCGTTTTGCCATATAAACCCTGTCATCCAAAGAATAAAATGACACTCGTTCAACAAAACTACCATAACCCTCGCTGAAATGGGAACGAGGCCTTACTCAGATGAACAAGAGTCTGTCACCCTTATAGCTACAGAAAATAAAAATAGAAATACAATTGATGCGAAATTCTACCACATAGAGTCATTCCAACCACGGAATATGCAATTTCAGATTCATGAACAACTTGAAAAAGGGAGCCCCATCTATCTTGTTAAGAGATACAGTTCCAGTAAATTTTTATCTTTTATGTTTGATAATTATCGATGTTCATAATAGTTTACATTTTGATCAAATATGTGCTGATGATAATAGAAATTAGAGCTCAATGCAGAAGAAAACTTGAATATTAAAGCCTCAATGTCACAAGAAAAAAACGTTCGATTTGAATAGCTATACATGTTGTGTTGTTGTAAAGACACATGAGGATAATCAATAAAAGAGCTGTCAAAAATCTGTTGCATTAAGTAGGGAAAGTGAAATGGGAAGTGAGGTTCAAGGAATAAAAAGAAACAAAGTTCTGACCATTCGGGAATTTTTATAGACATTTTTCAGTGATTGGTAGTGTGTATAAAAGATACCTCATTTGATATTTAGATGCCAGTAGATACATATGTAAGAGTGAAATAATTATTTTATTAAAAAATACAAATAGTATAAGATGCTAAACATTTTATATTTTTCCAATTTAGAGACTTATGAAAAATTCTAAGAATTAACTTAATATGTGAGAACTACATACTACATCACAGTTCTTTAGGAGGAATGCAGGCAAAAAAAGTGGAAGACCATCACCTAACAGTATCCTACTCTGATGTGGGATCTCTAAAGGAAGCCAGGGCAGATCTAAGGGACCCAGTGAGGATTCCTGTAAAGAGACAAGGGCTGGAGAAAGAAAATACCTCCTCTATGACATAAACTTTAAATAGATGTATAGCACTTTCTGTGACGTCTGGCCCGAAATTCATATGCAATACCTGTATAGTGAAAAGAGAGATGATATCAAAAGAACAGAAACAATATGAAATGGAATGGCTAGAGGGTCTGGAAAAGACCGTAATAAAGGGCTGTCATTTCTGAAAAGCCAGGTGGCAACTACATGACTGGAAGCAACCCATCTGAGAGAGGACTGGGAGCATGGTTGAGGAACAGAGGCCCAGAGAGCCCAGCGGTCTTGCAGAAGAAGCCAGTCAGGGAACAGGAAGCAAATCAGCAATGAGCAGTAGAAGAAAGCTGCTACCACTGCTAGGCAAGAGGGAAAAGGAGACAGGCAGGGCTGCTGGAGTCCAGGAGCTGGTCCCTTGACAGACACTGAGGCACAGTGGGCCTGTCCCCTGGTGGCTGGGGCTGGGGAAGAGGTGGGTCTGCAGCTGGAGAGGCCACGAGCATGCCAAGCATGGGGAGAAGCGCCCTTCCTTCTCCCCTCCTCCCACCCTCCCGTCTTCCTGTCCTGCTACCTATGGGCTGACAGGAGTCCACAGAAATCTGCCTTCCTGCAGTGCCGAGTGGAGAGAACAGTGAGGGTGGATCTGAGGACCAACAGATCCAGACCCCACAAAGCACACACCTTGCGCATGAAGTGGTGAAATGTGGGATCAGTAATAATACAGACCCTTGATGGTCTTAGATTTTGGAGACAAACCCCAAGTGCCAAAGGGTCTCTTACTCAGGTGACTAGGACACAGCCACCCTTGCTGGGCAGCAGATCACCCGTTGGGCGAAACCAATAGCCTCAAGCTGCATTAAAACCCTGGATTGAGCCCAAAGTGTCTTCAGTTTATAGGAAGTAATTAGTCACACTATAATTTGTGCTGCTTAGATAGTGTCTGGAATATAGGTTGCTTTACAGTATCATTTTCAAAGAACTTGCCAAAAATAAAGTGTACCAGAAGATTAATATCTGGAAATGGGTCCAATGATGTCCTGTGAGGTACAAAGCAAGTAGGCAGGTTTTACTTAGGGTTGAAAAGACTATATGGGGCCTTTCTAGTTATTTTCAAATAACTAAAGTGTTGCCTGTAAAACAGAAGAGCTAATAATTGCTAACACTGAGCATTTACTGTGTTCTAGGTGCCTAAGTTATTTATTCATTCTAACACCCTTGTTAAAGAGTAGCACTGTTGTATCAGTTTTATGAATGAAAAACTAAGGATTTGAATGGTCATGTAACTAGCCCTTGGCTAAAGTCTAGTCAAATGCTTCAGAGTCTGAACCCACGTTTTTAACTACTGTTTGACATGTGTTGTTTTACTGAACTAGACAAGTGCCCATAGGTTGAAGCTACAAAGAGGCAGTGTTTGGCTTGGCATGAGGAAAGTTTTTATTGAATGATCATTGCAGAGACTGCTGCTGGAAGAAATAGGAGTTTCCATTCATAAATGTATTTAAACAAAAGTTAGCTGTTTGGCGGGTTATTAATATCAGAACATGAGTATTACTAAATATAAAAAGGAACATTTCATAATGATAAAAGAATCAATTCTACAAGAAGACATAGCATCCTAAATGTTTGTTCATCTAATACCACCACTTTAAAACATTAAACGAAAATTGGCAGACTTGGAAGGAGAAACAGACATATCTACACATACATACATATTTTGTATGGCACAAATGAAACAATTATTGTATGCATATGTGTGTGTTTATTTGAGGGGCTGGGTCAGGTTTCAGAGCCACCTACCCCTGCTCCTTTCCTAGATCTTGACTAAGCAAGCTCTATGCACAAAAATCATAGCCAAATGGCAAATGAACACCATGTTTTAAATTAATAGCTGGATGAGCTCACGATTTCTCCCTTTTCTTCTTTCCCTTTGGGGCGTCTCTGCTAGTTTATATTAGAGAACATGACTTAGAAGGGGAGGCCTTATGTTTCTTGTTGCCTCCTTTTAATCTGAGAGTCCAGGTTTGTAGATCAGGCCCTAAACTCGCTCATTCATCCCATCTCATGGATGAGAAAATCTCCTCCACTATCCCAGTCAGAGACTGAAGCTGGAAAGATGTCCCAGTCTTTGGGGACACACCAGCAGGCCCAGTCAGGTCTCCGTGTTGACCACATGGAGACAAGAACTTCAAGAAAGAGCCAAAATGTCCACAGGCCATGGTCAATGTTTCATAGTGCAGTGACTCTTCTCGCTAGAGAACCCTGATCCGCTGAGCCTCTTTGACTGTAGCCAATGAAATTGTTAACACGTAACACTGAGACACACAGCAAGGGTGGTAGACAGAGGGATAACAATTGTGGAGAGTGACATGAACATTCCTTCTTCTTCCACAGGATGTAAAAGGATGTGGCACAAAGTTCAACATATGGAAAACCATAAGTAAATCATATGCCTTGGATGTTTTCCATGTAGTTGTTCTCATTATTTTAATGTGAAATCATTTTTCACAAAGTTTGTGCCCATTTATATTCCCAACAATTTAAGAAACAAAATGGTTTCATTGCACCTGTGTCTTTACTTCAAGGTACCTTTATTTCAAAGATTGTATTGAAATTCTATTTCTTAAGGGAACATGTCCTACCTAATGAAAGCTAGTGCTTCTTCCCTCTTCCCTTGCCAAAAACTTTCCACACTCCCCAGAAACTCCATAAGATATTCATTTGCTTTTTATTTTAGTTGTGCTGTTATCTAAGATCATTAGACAACCTGGCCTTGTGTCTTCTGGTCCCTCTCAAGATCACCCTGTCTGTTTTATTTTTAAATTTTTTTGGTAGAGTTTTTCATCTTTTATTTAAATCTTTAAATGTATTTATTTTTAACTGACAAAGAATAATTGTGTGTACTTACAGGGTACAGTGTGATGTTTTGATCTATGTGTACATTGTAGAAAGATTCAGTCAAGCTAGTTATCATGCCCATCTCACCAGCTTATTTTTTTGTGGTGAGAACATTAAAAATCTATTTTTCTTATTTACATATAGTCAATGTAAAAAAAAAAGTCAATCCTCCTGGTACCTCACCCCCAGCCTTTGATAACAACCTGTCTACTCCATGAAATCAACTCTTTTAGGTTCCACGTATAAGTGAGATGATTTATCTTTTTGTGCCCGACTTATTTCAATTAGCATAATGCTTTCCAGTTCCATACATGTCACAAATAAACAGAATTTTCTTATTTCTCTCTCTCTCTCTCTTTTCTTTTTCTTTCTTCTTCTTTTTTTTTTTTAGAAACATGTCTTATTCTGTCACCTAGGCTAGAGTACAGTGGTGCCATTATAGCTCACTGCAGCCTCAAATTCCTGGGGTCAAGCCATTCTCCCACCTCAGCCTCCTGAGTAGGTAGGACTACAGGCAGGCACTATCGTGCCTGGCTATTTTTTGTTATTTTCTGTAGAGACAATGTCTTGTTATGTTGGCCAGGCTGATCTCAAGCTCCTGGTCTCAAGTGATCTTCTTTCCTTGGCCTCCCAAAGTGTTGGGATTACAGGCATGGGCCTTGATTTCCTTCTTTTTAAAGGCTGTATAGTACTCTAATATACATGTATGTGTGTGGGTGTGTGTGTGTGTATATAGTACTCCAATATATGTATATTCTACATATGTTAGAGTACACGCACACGCACATATATATATCACATTTTCTTTACCCTTTCATCTGTTGGTGGATACAAGTTAAGTCTGTGTCTTGGCCATTGTCACTAAAGCTGCCATAACCATGGAAGTGTAGATATCTCTTCTACATGCTAATTTCAATTCCTTTGGATGTTTACCCCAAAGTAGGATTGCTGGGTCATATGGTAATTCTGGTTTTAGTTTCTTTTTTTTTTTTACTAGGCAAAGAACTTTATTAATCTTTGTTTCAAACTTGATTCCTAGGCTTCTTCAGCTTAATTAGCTGCAAAGAATGAGTTGTGTATAACCAAAAACCGAAAAGAGCTGCAGTGTCCAAGGAGCTTGGGCTTAATATTAGAGATCTAGATTTTATCAGATCCATAAACAAAACAATTTTAAAAAGCAGTCATAATACAAAATGGCAGCTCCCAGTAACTTCTTCAAGTTGTGTCGTCTTCGGAAGTTGACTCGCTTCGGTTTGCCTCATTCTCGGAAGCCTCGTCAAAATTCTCGACAAGATCTGGAACTTCATCCTCCTCCTCCTCTCCAGTAGCAAGTGGTGCCTTTCCATCCACAGATGGTTTGGGCAGAGCTTCAGCCAGTCTCCTTAAACTCGTCAGACTGTCTGCACCAAGCTGGTTTAAGATGCTGGGGAGCATTTCTGTCAGCTGCTTGGTCTTAGCACGGCCTGTAATGGTGACAGTGTTCGCTGCCAGAGACGCCTGAACTTTAGGGTTGTTAAAGTGAATAACTGTTCCTTGGTTTGTAAACATGTTCACCTCTTCAATACCAGAGATATTATTTACCCCTAACTTCTTCAAGGAGAACTGAAGTTTTCTGTCATCTGCTGTGGCTGTTCTAGGAACCACCTTCTTCTTTCTGCGAGCGGTTCCTTTCCCACCAATGCGCACTTGTGCCTGCAGTTTGGCGAGTTTTTCCTGGTTCATGATGGTTTCTTTCATCTTGTCGGAGCGGAAAAGGGGCTGCGTGGGGGACTAGGGTTGGAGCCCATGGGGTCTCAGCTGCACCAGCTGAGGTTGGCGCACACACGTGGGGACGCAAGATGGCAGCTAGAGCTGTTTTTAGTTTCTTAAGGGATCTCTAACCCATTTTTCCAAAATGGCTATACATCCTTGTCTCTTTTAGATCTCAGTTTTCTCGTGAGCAGGGGGTCAAATATGATTAATTAATTCAGCACAGACTACAAAGAAGAAGTACATAATAAATACGCCTGACACTGTACCATTTATAACCATTATGTAGGTTTTTGTTTTTCTCCCCTTAATTTCAAAGAAAATGAGGAAAGGAGGAAGTAAAAAAGTAAATTTTTGACAGGAGATGTTTAAAAAGGTACTGAATAAAGTGAGATGTGGGAGTTATCTAGTGATTTTATTTACTCATCCTCTTTCCAATCCCTAATTGTTTTTGTTTGTTTGTTTCTGACAGAGTCTCACTCTGTCGCCCAGCCTGGAGTGCAGTGGCACGCTCATGGCCACCCAGCGTCGATCTGCTGGGCGCTAGTGATCCTTCTACCTCACCCTTCCAAGTAGCTGAAACTATAGGCGTGCACAACCACGCCCAGCTAATTTTTGATTTACTGTAGAGACGAGGTCGCACCAAGTTGCCTGGATGGGTCTCAAACCCGCGGGTTCAGGCAATCCACTCACCTCAGCCTCCCAAAGGCGTGGGCAGGCTGAGCCACCGAGCCCAGCTTCCAACCCCTAATTGTAAGATAATTTATAGCACCAAATAACATGCCACAAAGTGTGGTAGCTCAGACCCTGACTGGGATTCAGAACCAGACATCTGATGTTCAACTATTTGCTCTACCAGCTACAAGTCCTGCAACTCTGTATGAAGTGTTCAAGCTCTCCACCTTCAGTTATTCCCAACAAATTCGAGACTATCAGCAATGCCACCTTTATTGTATTGCAGGAATTCAATAACTCAGTGTATGCACCAATAATGTGATATTGGGGACATAGAAAGTGTTTTTTTAATGATGAAAATGATAACCATTATTACCTAACATTTATAGTGATAATTTTATTCATTTCGCATCATTAAGTACAGAGTCCTACAGGAATCAGAAAAACTTATTTCATTTCTTCTTCTATTGTCCAGCGTCCTACAAGAAAATAATCACTCGCTTCCTAAAGGTCCCGGGGACAGAAGAAGTGGAGCTCACCTGCCAGGCTGAAGGCTATCCCCTGGCAGAAGTGTCCTGGTCCAACGTCAGTGTTCCTGCCAACACCAGCCACACCAGGACTCCTGAAGGCCTCTACCAGGTCACCAGTGTTCTGCGCCTAGAGCCAAACCCTGGAAGAAACTTCAGCTGTGTGTTCTGGAATGCAGACGTGAAGGAACTTACTTCAGCCATCATTGACCCTCAAAGTAAGAGCTGCTCCCCACTTCCTAGGTCTACCAGTCACAGTTCAGGCAAGGAACAGATGGCACGTTCAAAATGAACCATTTGAGGGGCATGTAAGAAAGGGACAATTCACAGAGGTGTGACCAGCATTTAGGGGAGAGTGCAGGACATTAGGTCTTCACTGTTGGAGGAACAATTGCCAGTGTTGGGCCCAGCAGAAGGCAGCTCTAGGAAAAGCCCCGTTCACAGTGCGGTGGCCTCCAGAAGAGGGAAGCTGCACCTGCAACTGCAAAGGGCAGCAGCAAGGACTGAACACCCTCCCCTCGTCCCCTCCCCCCTTCCAGTCTGGAGAGAAAAGGGACGCCATTTGGCACAACCACTCATGCACAGTGCCTCCGGCTGGCAGGATGGGTATTACTTTTCTGTCTTTGCTGCCAGCCAGCCGGTTATGGGGCCTTTCTGGGAAAGCTGGTCCCTTGCAAAATCCTGCAGAGGCTCGACTGGTTCTGCTGGATGTTTCTGGAAGGGATTCTGTACTTCCCCACTTCATGCATCCATAAAATTTCAGACAGTCCTGGGAGACAAGCAACTTTTTATTTGCCAAGTAAGAACAACTGACCTCCAGTATCACAAACTTTTCATAAGAGGCAGGTAATTTTATCACCAAGTTAACAGGTTTTCTATATGGTTCAAGACAACACAGATTATTATCTTATACTTATGGAGGTCAGGAGGCCAAACATGGGTTTCCCTGGGCTCCAATCGAGTCAGCAGGGTTGGAGACGCTCTAGGGAGACTTCATTTTCACACCTTTTCCAGCTGCCAGAGTCCACCCTTATTATGAGTGAATGGCCCCTTCCTCCATTTCAGAGCCAGCAGTCCCATCACTCAGTCCTCTGCTTCTGTCTCCACATCCCTTTCTCGGACTTTCTTGCTTCCCTGTTCCACCTTTTAAGAACTCTTGTGATGACAAGAGGTGTCCCACCCCTTGGATGATTCAGGATGATCTTCTCATCTCAAGGTCCTCAATGTAATCCATCTGCAAGACCTCTTGTCTTGTGAAAGGTAGCACATCCAGCGCCCAGGGATTAAGGCATGCACATCTTTCAAGGGAGCCATCATCTGGCCTATCCCACCACGAAGGGATATAATCTGAAAATAAAGAACCGTCCCTAGTACTGATTAATCAGACTTTACTTTTTAAAAGTCACTATGCTGTCATTGTATTTCACATTTTACCTTTGTCTTAGTTAGAGAAGACAGAGCCTGTGATAACTTGTCTGGCACGCAGAGATTTAACTTGTCTGGCATGCAGGGAGCAGAGGAGAGCTTTAGGAGTTTAAGACAGGGAAGAAGGAAAAGCAAATATAGGGCATATTATCAAAGTTGTTGGTGTGGCAACAGGAACTCAGATCTTCAAAGACCGCCCTGAGAAGCACATGCTGCCTTCTGAGATGTTTACACAAGACTTCAGGTGGAAGGACTTGCCGGTCTGCTTTCACCCTCCTGGCTGAACTATGCCTGCATGTGGGCTGAGTACACTCCCTCAGCATACATCCCAGGATAAAAAGCAAAGTGGCCCACTTGAGGGGAATTGCTGATCTTGAAGTGATTCAAAGTGCCCCCAGGATTCTACCCCAGCCGGCTAAGTCAGAGGTGAGGCTGAGAGGAAGGGAGTCAGGACCGCAAGCCCTCTCCTTAGACTGTTCGAGTCCACCCGTGCCCTCCATTAAGTCCACTCTGTCACTGGGCCTTCCAGCTGGGAGGCAGTCACAGTGCCTGCAAAGGGTTTAACATGCAAGAGTTTGTACCACAGCTGTAGTTTCTGCTGCTGCTGTTGATCCCAAGCCATAACTGATAGGTGTCATCTCTTTAAGCCACCATATATTCTCAATTTCCCCCACCCAGCACTTTAAATGGAAAAGTTTCTTCGCCTGACAGAATGACTCAGACTTTTTCGACCCTAGAAGATCTAAGCTTTAGGCCTCCTTGCCCTAACAGTTGTAGGGCTGCCGCAACTATCACCGAACCCGGAAGTAAAAAGAACTGGAGGATCCGCAGATCCCTGAGTTCTGGACCTCCCCCGTTTCCCTCCATCGTGGAGCTGCATCCAAGTTCCTCATGGCAATCAAGGCCGAGTGCCCCACCAGCATGGCAACACTTTGCTTTGCCCACTGGCCGGCCAGGGTGAAGAGTTCCAAGTGACCAGGCGACAGCCACAACTCTAGATGCAACAGCACCAGTACGGTATCTCCTGGCAGAAGAATCCCCCTAGGAAGCCGGACCTTCGATCCAGTAGGGCCTACATGTGTGCGAGTGAAGAGCAAAATTCTGTGAGCGCATCACTGAAAATTATGGTGAGAAGGGCCACCCGTCAGCCTTGGGGAAGTCTTGGTGCAGAAGCAGAACTTGCTGGAGACGAGGTTGTCCGGGGCAGTGAGGTAGGCCGTGCACAGAGCCATCACCTTCAGCTGCATCCAACTGGGGCTGAAATTGGCGACGAGGCAGACAAGATACGGGGTGGAGCATCAAAGATATCTGCTCTCTCCCAAATTAAAAGAAACTTTGTCGTGAATCAGCATTGATCCACAGACCGGACTCCACGAACTGAAATAACTAAATACCCATCTCATCGTTGCTTGTCTAGTATTATCTTCTGGAGAAAAAATCCTCCCTGGTAGAGGTTCCAGAGGCATCTAGATGCACTAGTGCCATCCCCCACTTTTCCCACTTCCCACCCACCCAACTTCACGACCCAATCCCAGCACTAGAGTTAGCCCAGCTTCTTCCTAACTAAATCATTGTGATGAAGTGAGGATGTGAAGATTAAAAAAAGGGAGTCATGCTAAGGACCTTGATAGAAATAGACATTTGGCACACGTTGATTTTAGGGCCAACTGTGGGTGAAAAAATGAACAGGGCAAGTCAGTCTTTCAGCATTCTCTGCCACACTTTATATCACAGTTAAGACTGCCAGGCCTTCACCTCAGGAAAAATGAGCTATCACTAACTCATACTACGATTTTAGAGGCTTCCCAGAAAGAGCACCCTGCCCCCACCCACCCCGGAATTTCTTACTCACCTCTCCTTTGTTGTGGGCAATTTCCTGGTTAAATGTCGGCCTGTACTTTAGATGGATTGTAGTTTTCTAGAAGGACACTTATTTAAGGATGTCTGCAGGGAAACAGGGGCCTGTGCAAGACAAATTTAGGAATAACCAGAGTCCACCTTTTTTATATCGGTGATGTCCGTGTATGTTCCCATCTGGTAGAGAAGGGCAGTGGCAGAGTTACCACCGCTCTGGAATCCTCCAAGCTGTGAGAAGGTAGCAGTGGAGCAAAACGATGACCCCTCTCATGGGAGCCAACATGGCTGAATAGTCAGCCTCGTGGTGGGGTGGGGATCTACAAAGTCTTCCTCAGAGCCCAGGATCTAGCAGGGCATCAGTCACACATGCAGCCAGCAGGGAGATGGACTGATCTTTGTGCAGCTCGAGATACCCAGCTCGATTTCACCCACCTTTCCCAGCTTTGCATTCATCTTGCCGTTCCCTGATGTGGCTTCTCTGCTCCATTAAGTGTTCCCTTCTTCACCATGTGCTCTCAGCACTTACTTGTGTTTTTCCACCTCCAAATGGTTTTCTCCCACATAAAATGTCCTTATTCCCCCCTCCACCAGCTCCAGGCCCACCCTCTCTCCAGGTCAGCTTGGTAACTCCAGGGCACAAAGGAGCCTTTGCCTTATCACACCTCTTCAGACCTATTACCTGGACCATTTGTTCGCTGTGTGACCATGCCCGCCTTTTCTATTGCTATTTTGTTTTCTGTGTATTTTCATTGTTCACACGCGTCTTCTTTGTATCCAGGCTGAAACGAAAGCAGGGTGCTTTACCCGTAATAAGTGTTCGATAAACGTTGGCTTGATGGGTTGGAGACATGATCCTGGGTAATCCTGGTCCCCATTAGCCCACCCAACAGACTATGTGGACAGCTATGTCAGAGCAGCCAAATAATGTCCTGGTTTGTGGCACAAATACCAGCAACAAAATAACCAAAGTCACACATCTTCCCCCGGGGTTTCTTGCTTCTGTTTTCCAAAGGCATTTTTGAACTGTCTTATGACTGTTCCTTTTCTACTCATTCTCATACATTGAGCTGCTGACTGCTGGGACCCACCACAAGCTTCTCCAGAAGTTGGTGAACAAACCAAACACAGAAATGAGAGTATGGGGGATGGAGGATGTCCCTGTGACTCAAGGATGGATGACTGAACATCCCAACTGTCTAGCAGAAGTTAGGAAGCAGGAAGATCATTTTCCCTTTGAAATTGGATTTCATCTCCTTAACCAGTTGCCGTATTTTCACTGGGAAACGTACTTGGGCTGGAGCACAAAAAATAACTATAAAAAATACCCTTGTGGGGTTGGAAGAAAAGAGATGCCCTCCTAGGAGACCTGGAGGCCACTTCAGGCAATGGTCAAGAGCATAGGCTCTGAAACCAGACAGACTTGAATTTCAGATCCTCTATCTGCTACCTACTGGCTTTGGGAACTTGAACACACTACTGAGCCACCCTAGCACTCAATCTCTCATGTGGAGAATTAGGGTAAATAATGTGAGATACTTCATAGAGGTATTGTGAGGATTAAGTGAAACTTGCCTATAAGGTATTTAGAACTTAGAAAGTGTGAAAACAGAAAAAAAATATGGCACCTCTAGCAAGATGCTTGCTTGCCTGAGAGTGCATGCGATTGTTGTAAGACTAAAGTGAACATTTTTCCCATTGCATCATTACATCATTAGAGAGCATGCAATTACTATAAAACAATCTAGAAGAGTATGTATCAGGATATAGTCTACGCTATCGCAAGAAAGAGACTAACGAATACAGTGACTCAAACAAGACGAAAGTTTATTTCTCTCCACCTAATATTCAGGTGGTTCAAAGCAGCTAAATAGCCATATTTCATGGAGTCATACCATGATCCAGGCTCTTTCCATTTCGTTGCTCTGCCATTCTGCAGGATGTTGTCCTGTCAAGTGATCAAAGCTGGATCACTGCCAAATTCATTTTCAGTCCTCAGAAAGGAAATGAGTCGTGTGAAATGCATCCAGCATTTTAAGGTCAAGATCCAGAAGACCCTTTTTCTTGGCTGGAACTTAGTTCACGTGGCTGGGCACGTGCTTTTCTTCCCGAATGTTTAGTCTTTTGGATAGAGACAATTACCTGAGGGGGCCTGAGCTTTGATCAGACAGATCTGGGTTTGCAGTCCTGGCTCTGTCACTTACTTGGCCATGATGGCCTTAAATAGATTATTCAGCATCTCTCAGCCTTTCTTCCTCAAACAAATGAGGAGCTCAGATTGCGAGATATTAACCTCTTCTCAGCTCAAACAGTCCGTGGTTCTCAGGAGACAGATGCTGGAGGGAGGGGGGTTGCCAGACGGCAACGGGCGGACCAGCCCTTTCTCACGCGAGCCTTGCCCGCTCTTTCCTTAAGCAGCCTTCCGTGCTTATTTCGTGTGAGTGATTCTACAAGGCGACATCCAGGCTTTCGAAAAGGGCGCGACTTGCCTTGGGTACCCTCTTATCTCCCTGCTGTGAACACCCCTCCAGTCCTGCCCCTTGTCAATCTGGAGCCTTGTTCTGACCCGAAGAACAAGGTTTTTCTTTCTTTTTTTTTTCTTTTGTCCTTCTTTACAACAGTTTTCCTAGCCTCCAAAGCAATTCTCTTCCTATGTGTCTCTACTAAACCCAACTTTTCTTCAGTGCCAAGACCTTTGTTAGCTGAGACCAGGCAAAGAGCCAGCTGTAGTAATTTACACTAAAGCATGAGTGACTAGATTTGGTATATTAATACCACCTAGGATAGTATCTGCTTTTTCAAAAGAATCCTGTTAATCCTTGACACTAAATAGCCAAGACATAGATTCTAAGCACTGTGAGTGCAGGTCAGCAGAGGAAAGACATTTTTGGACTGAGAAACTTCCCCACTGGAAAGTGAGAGAGATGATTACGACAATGGGGGGTGAGAAGGAAGAACAGGAAAAAAGAGAGATTGACAGAAAAATAAACACAGATGAGAGAGAGAAATATGATAGACAGGTCAGGGGGCAAAAAGCATAGAATCTGAATGAGACAGCCTGGGCCAGATCACTTCCTGTCTAGCAGTGGGAAAGCTTCCTCACCTCTCTGGGCCTCAGTAAACCAGTAAAACAGTAAAACAGAGATCATAGTAGACCTGCCTCCCAGGGCTGCTGTGATGACGTGAGCTAGCACGTGCAGAGTGTTTAGAACAGCGCTTGGCGTGAGTCATGTTCAACGCAAGTTGGCCATGCTGGCTGTAACCCACTCGCGTGGCCACCTGGCTGACTTGCCTCTGACCCTCCATGTCACGGGATTCCGGGGCTTTCCCCCACCCAGGTCAGGCGGACCCCGGGGCCTCCACGACTCCGCTGCTCCACGCGCTGGTCCCTTCCTGCGCCATCGCCTTTGTCTTCACAGCCACGGCGACGGTCCTCAGAAAACGACTCTGCCGAAAACTGTAATCCAGGAAAGGTGAGTCTTATTCACGGTGACCCAATGGCAGGCTTTGTGCCCCAGGCCTGTCCCTTCCCGGTTTCACACTAAATCTACTCAGAGTTATGAAGTGCTTTGAGTTTGTCCCGGTGCTTTTCTCCACAGAAGAGCATAGCTCTGGTCTTTAGTGCATTGAACTTTGTACGCTGAGTTTTTTTAAGGACGTATTTGGCTGCTGTGTCTGAGTTTGCTGCTTCTTCAAGCCAAGAACTTTTATCAGCCTCGTGAGAGCAATGTTTTCTAGCATTGTCGACAGCTCTGCGGTCAGGGTTTGCTGGTGGGGGGTTGCCAGGATCCTTTCTAGGGTTCCTTCAGTTCTCATCTCTCTTCCCCCCTTTCTGGGCAGGAGCTGAATCAAGCCTGCCCCTGTCTCCCACAAGTCTGAATCCCCTGTTGGCAAGGTCTGTGAGGCCACGGGGGAGGAGGAAAGCACCTGGTTGGCAGTGCCCTCCAGTCCTTAAGCAGTTCCCCTGGACTTCCTCCTCAGCCTGTTGTGTTCTCACCAGCCCACTCCCGTTCTGTTGAATCAGCTGGGACAGAGCATCCCTGCAGCCTTGTGCTCTGGACAGAGAATTTGATTGCTCCATGCTTTGTGTGTCTGTCCATGTGCCTGCCCACAAAACCCCAGGATGGATGCAGGCCCAGCCGGTGCTTTCCAAAGCTGCAACCTTGTCAGTGCTCAATGAGCTCCCACGTTTTCTGCAGACCTTGTCTATAGAAAAGGAAATGAAATGTGAGAATAATTCTGTAGCAACTCGGGGCGGCACCGTTTGAGGACGGGGAGTTGTAGGTGGCTGTTATTCTGCAATGACAGTCGTAGCCTCTGCATTCTCACCCACCACAAAATATTGTCCTGCTCTACCTGTTCACTGCCCCACGTGTACATTAGCTTGGGTGACAACCACAATACTTCTCACTGTAGAAGGCAAGGAACTGTTGTCCAGAGAAAGAAGGCAGAGGGATGAAGAAGAAGGGGACGGGGGAAGAGAAAGGAGAGAGGAGGAGAAATATACATATATGCAAAACCAAAGCAATAAAAGTGGGGGGGACTTTACAGCAAAGGAGGAGGAATCACAGGGTTTGTTCCACAGAACATGGACTTTTAAGCAGAGCCACTTCTTTGCATGCATGACCTCAGAGAGCTGTAGCAAATGCAGCTCACTGGCCTCTCATCGCCTGCCATTCTTCCACCTCCCACACGCACACCTCTGGGAAACAGCATTATACCAAGGTTCCAGACCTGAGGTCTGAGGACTCCCGAGTCACTTCAGATGAGCAGCCAAGGCTTCTGTTCTGGCTGTCTTTGGGAGGATGGAATGGAGTCACACTCAAAGACAGACTGGGAAAAAACTCCCCTCATCCCAGTCTTAAGAGTAAATGAGCATATCAGTAACTCAGAGCTGGCGAGTAGAGCTCAGGTCCCAACTGTCACCGGGAGAGCTTTGTTACTACATTTGCAAGCAATTTCTTTTTCATTTTTAATGAATCAGAGGAAATCACGGTTGCCTATATAATAACCCCCTCTCTAACTCACTTGCATTCGGATCTGCTTTCTTAAGTGGGAGACACCTGGATGCATGTGTAGCGATGTGTCCGCCATGCTCACAAACTCATGTGCCATGGAAAAGGGTTGAGACCCACTGGTGCTGTGGATACAGCTTTAAGCCAAGGTCAGGGGGCTCGGTTTGGACCTGGTGCGGCCACTTACTGGCTCTGTGACCTTGCACGAGCCACCTGACTTCTTGGAGACAGTCTTTCTGTCTGTAAAATGGGAAGCAGCAAGAGACTGGACATTTTGCGGCTTATTGACCCAACTTCACTATCTCTGGTGGGGTTCACTCTGGACTACGGCAGAATCCTCTTCACTGGTCCCCTGCATCCACTCCTACCACCTCTAGTATGGTCCATTCTCACTTTTAGATATAACATGCAAATCTACCATGCCTCCTCAGTCCAGACTTCTTCCAGGGCTTTCAATCGTTCACTGGATGAAGTCCCAACAAGGACTGGGTGATGTGACTCACGTCTCTCGCTTTAATTGCATCACTATCACCTCCGTCGTCTGAGCTCTAGCCATGCAGGGTTTTCTAGTTCTCAGAGGCATCCCACTCTTTCAACGCTTAGTTTGCTCGTTCAGTATTCTCTCTTAAAATGCTTTCTTCTTCTTGTCCATCTGAATCAGAGTCATCCCTTAAATCTCAGCTAACACCGGCAAACACATCATAAAGCCACCCCTGACTCTATCCTCCTCACCACCACACCCATTGCATTTCATCCTTTGTGTTATGTTTTTGAAGCACCCTCTTCTTCTTCCAGTGCAATCACCACACAATTACAGGTCTGGCACCTGTTTTAATAGCTTGGGCTGCAAATGCAATTACATTCCCTTTAATTTCTCAGTTAATACCTCAACCACCACCTGCCCATCTTGGCAAGAAGTCCAATTTGTCTCCCTCTTGCAGCATCCCCTACAAACTTTTGAGTGCTCTTCCCAAATAGCCCGGAAGGCTACTGAGGAGCTAGGCCAGTCCTTCAGAGAGCCCTGGTTTGGCTATTTCTGCTCCTGCAGCCCAGAATTTCCGATCCCCCCAGATACCTTCATCCACTGCGCAAAGGTTCCCCTGCTGGCCCAGAGGCCCACATTGACCATGGTGACACAAGGCCACAAGGCTTTCGGCCTCCCCCCAACACTCTGCCCTCAGTCCCAAAGCCAGACACGCACGTGCTGATGAGGCAGAAGACCCCTGCCTTCGCCACTACTGTGCACGGCCAGCCTGCCCTGCTCTAGGCCCCATTGTGGGGCCTGGTCACCAGTCCTGCTTCCTTCTCGTTGGCTCCTCTGAGGGCCATGGCGTCCTGTACTTCCTGGAACACGGAAAAGTCTAGTAAAGAGGCAGCATTCCCAACCCCCTTCTTTCCAGAAGCCCCTCGGCTCCTACACAGATGTAGCCACCTATGCCTCAGCTACCAGCTCTGCACACGAAGGTGTATTGTGCATAAAGGCTTAAAGTCACGAGCCAGTGTTGGTCCATGAAAGGTCGTGCTCGCCGCTTTCCCCTAAGAGGAACCATTCCACAGGCCAGGGTTCCAGGGTGACATACTGGTCTCCAGAGACGATGTCGGTAACTTCGGCTGCAAAATCGTGTCAAAGTCTGCTTCATCTTCTAGTCTTTAAGTTTCATGAGTACAGAAACTTTCCTTTTTTTTAAAGATGAAATACATTCTTTGTAAACTTTTAAAGATGTGAGGTACAATTCAGGGTTAGGTAGACAAATGTTCGTTATGCAGGTCCCCTTGTGAATGAGGTGTGCCCCCCCTTCCCCAGGCAGATTCCCGCTCCTGCCAATCTCACTTCCCCACTACCCTCCCGGCAGTTTCCCGCTATGGCCAATCCTTTTCTTATAGTATTACGACAATTGTTCAAGGTCCGCTTATGAGTGAGAACATGTGCTACTCAGTTCTTTGTTTCTGTGCTAGATCGCTCAGTAGTATAGACTCTAAGTCCATCCAGGTTGCTGTGAAGTTCATGATTTTGTTCTTTATGACTACATAATATTCCATTGTGTATATGTGCCACATTTTTTAAATTCAGTCCTTTTTTGATGGGCAGCATGGTTGGTTCTATATTCTTGCTGCTGTGAACAATGCTGCGATAAACATACGTGTGCAGATATCTTTTTCATAGAGTGATTTGAGTTTTTCCGGGTATATTCCCAGTAGGGGGATTGCAGGGTCGTATGGAAGGTCGATTTTTAGATCTTTTAGGAATCGCCACACTGTTTTCCACGGAGGCTGTACTAGTTTACACTCCCACCAGCAGTGTAGAAGTGTTCCCTTTTCGCCACATCCTCTCCCGCATCTGTTGTTTTTTGGGTTATTGATGATGGTCATCCTGGCTGGAGTCAGGTGGTCTCTCAGTGTGGTTTTAACTTGCATCTCTTTGATGACTGCTGAGGCTGAGCATCTTTTCCTGTATCCGCTGGCTCCTCCTACGTCTTCTTTTGAGAACTGTCTATTCATAACTTTTGCCCACTTTTTAAAGGGGCCATTTGTTTTTTTCCTTTCGGTGCATTTGAGTTCCTTGTAGATCCTAGATGTTAGGCCTTTGTCAGACATACAGTTGGCAAATATTTTTTCCCAGTCTGTGTGCTATTTCCCTGCTTTCTTGATGGGTTCTTTGGCTTTGCAGAAGCTTTGAAGTTTGATGAGGTCCTACATATCTATTTTATCTCCTGGCCTGGGCACTTGGAGTTTTAACCAGGAATTGGCTGCCAGTTCCAATCTCCATAAGGGTGTCTCCTGCATTGTCTAAGGTTCTTATAGTTTGAGGTTCTACATTTAGGTCTTTGATCCATTTAGAGTTGATTTTTGTATATGGTGATAGGTAGGGGTCCTGTTTCAATCTTCTGCATGTGGTCAGCCAGTTTTCTCAGCACCATTTACTGAACAGGTCTCCTCTCCCCAGTGGTTGGTGGTGGAGGCTTTGTTGATGATGAGTTGACTGAGGAATTGAGGTTTTGCTTCTGGAATCTCTATCCTGTTCCTTTGGTCTATATCCCCGTGCTTGGATCAATACCAGACTGTTTTGATTTATTGTAGCTTTATAATAGAGTTTAAAGTCTGGGAGTGTGATACCTCCCGCTCTGTTTTTGTTTGTTTGTTTGTTTGTTTTGCTGAGGATTGTTTTGGTGGTTCATGGTTGTTTGTGTTTCCATACAACAGAAACTATTTCTTTTGTTCACCAATATATGCCCAGTGTCTAAATCAATACCTGGTATATAACAGATGTTCAATAAAATTTTAAACATTGCGCCTACTCTACACAGTTAAGTATGCTAGACCTGCTCTGTTCAACGAAATAGCCATCTGTGGCACTTTGAATTTAAGTTAAACAGGAATCCAGTCCATCAGTCACATCTTAAGGCTTGCACGTCATAAGTGCTGAAGAGCCACATGCAGACTGTGGCTACCATGTTGGATAGTACAGATGTACAACAGTCCCAGTGCTGCAGAAAGTGCTACTGGATCGCATTGTGCTAGACCCTTTATAAGCTGCTTTTTACTTGATTTCCCCAAAATTGCTCAAGGCAGAGAGCAGTGTCTTTATTTTTCAGATAAAGAAACTGAGGCTGAGAAAAGTCGTATCGCTTCCCGAAGTCACACAGCTGGGATCTGAATACAAGTCTATCTGACTCCAAAATGTTGTGGTCTTTTTGTTACAATAGTGCTTGATAAAATTTGGCTAAATCTGAACAGAATAATCTTTGGGCAATGGAAGGAGAAAGCAAGTCACGATCCAAAAGAATTGACTTACTGGGCCAATGGCAACGCCAATTTAGAGTCCAGTAGGAGGCACCAGTACAGAACCGAGAGCCCTGGACCAGGTCCCCCTATCTTGAGAATAGCGTTTCTCAAATTCTCTGGTGAAGGACCAGTTTGTTTGTCATTTTTAATTTCCAATATGTTGGAATCAATGCTTTTATAATATACAATATATACAAATTACTAAAAACTGTAATGGAAAGAGCAAAGACATAAAACAAAATGCCCAATTTTTATTAGATTCAATAAATTAATAAAATTTATTAAAGATTATTTTTATTGTAATAAAAAATAACGTTGTGAAAGATTACTATTGAAGTTTCTCAGTGTTTACACTCAATTTCTATACTTATCTCATCATCGACGGTAACAGTTTACCTACTGGCCCATGGACCAGACTGAGTCGCACTGCCTAGAACACTGAGCCAGAACCTGACAGGGATTTAAACCAAAGGCGGAATATGCTGGTTTATGGTTGCCTTGCCTGAGGCCCTCAGAAAATGGCAGCACTGACCTCAGGCACTAGAGAGATCGGCCAACTTTGAAGAGCGATCCCTGCGGGCTAGCCAGTGGGCTCCTTTCAAATGCAAACCCTCTTGGAGGAGACTCCAGTGCTAAATAGAGACCCTTATGTTCCAGGCCAAGGTCAGAATGGTCATGAGGAAGTTACTAAAAACCTGGCACACAGAGAAAAGCAGCATTAGAGAGAAACTGAGTTCAGGAACCCAGGCAATGGCAACAGGTAGACATCAAGTCCCGGAAGAGAGACTCTGTGTGGGAGGGAACATGTGACATCAGGGGCTAAGAAAGGAGTGAAACCAAAAAAACCTAGAGAGCAGCATCCCATCGAGTGAACTTGTGCCTCTGCCTCTGAGTTACTGGGAAAGGCGTCAGTCATTTCCACCTTAGAGCAAACTCACTGATGAGGCCTTCTGTGCCTTGCCAGGGCAAGCAGGCAGGCAGTGGCAGTCAAGATTAAAGCAGAAAAGGGACCTAATTCTGGAGATTACCTCCTGGGCTGAATATCCAACTCAGCAACTCCTCAGCCTTTGAGTGCCCGGAAGCCAGGGGCAGACTAGGGACAGGGAAGCGGGGGCCTTCTTTGTGCCCAGTGTTAGCACAGGGTTCAGCTTTTGCATTGCACATGGCCCAGTCTGAGGTCCCAAGTCACAGTGAACATTTAAACCTCTACAAGTGGGCTTATTTGGGCTTGTTTTTTGCTCTGCCCTAGTTTAGTCTGTAAACAGAACAATTTTCTCATTCATTTTATTCCATTTCTGGGATTTTTCTTTTTCAGACACAACCAAAAGATCTGTCACCACAATAAAGAGGGAAGTGAACACAGCTGTGAGTAAGCAAAATTTTGCTTTTCTTTTTCACCTCTTTTCCTAGCTGGAATTAAGACATAACCACGGTTCTATTAATTCACAAATGGCAACTAAGAAGTGCCAGCTAATATAGACTCTTCCTGCTCAGTGGCATTTCAGCCAAGGCTTGTTCTTCTATCCTGTGCTTCTCCACACCTTTCTTAGAGAGCAAAGATGGTGTCTGTTTACAGCTCCAGAGCAATCAGGCTGTCTTCTCCTCCTCTCATTCCTAAACACTCCCAGACTGTATTGCACAGAACCTCTGAGCTCATGTAGTTAGAAACATGGTTGCGGCTGGGCTCAGTGGCTCAGCCTGTAATCCTGCGCTTTGGGAGGCCGAGATGAGTGAATTGCCTGACCCCGTGGGTTCAAGACCCTCCCGGGCAACTTGACAAGACCTCATCTCTACAATAAATCAAAAATTAGCTGGGCGTGGTACCTCATGCCTGTAGTTCCAGCTATGTGGAAGGCTGAGGCTGAAGGATCGCCGGAGCCCAGCAGGTCGAGGCTGCGGTGGCCGGGAGCGGCCACTGCACTCCAGCCTGGGTGACAGAGTGAGACTCCAACTCAAAAAAAAAAAAGAAAGAAAGAAAGAAAGAAACATGGTTAAAGTCTAACAGCAAGGAGAAGATATTCAACTGTGAAGCAATCAACAGCTAGTGCTTTTGCAACAAACGACCAAGAAGTACCTGGTGGGAGCTAGCCAAGAGTATCCCCGGGAAAGCAGAAGTCTCTTCCTGAGCTTGGCAGACTCGGAGCTGGAATTTGTGGAAGAGAAGAGACGTGACGCATGGAAGAAGTGGGGTGCTTGAAATCACTCAGGCAGGTTGGATGGAAACATCAGACCCTGTGAAGGTCATGCCTGGAGGCAGACAGGCTGGGGTCCTGCCCGTAAGTGGGTGTTCCAGCTTTCTTAGGAAAACCTGCCTGTCCTTACTCATGTGGTGTGGCTTGAGTTGATGAGTTCCCCAGAATGATGTTAGTCAAGTCATAGACATTCCAAAATAACTGCATCAGCTACTCAGAATATTCAGAACTACTCATTCTAGAATTCTGTTGAATATAGCATTGAAATTCTAGAGGTACCAATTATAGAAACAATCCTAGAAAACCATCTTCTAAATCCAGGGTTTGTGTCTGGTTCATACGTAAGACACGGTAGCCATAAGTACAAAATGTGACTGAAGGGGTGAGCGTGGCCTCTGCGTCCTTCCCATCTCCTACGGCTGGCCTGACAGCCGTTCCTGAAAAGACTCCCCCCCCGCCTGACCCCTGTCTCTGGAGGCTCACATCCTGGGCACAGAACCAAGAAGCAAATGCAGCTTAGGGCAGGACTCTAATCAAGTCCAGCTACACTGAATCTCTGAATCAGCAATGAGTTTTTCTTGACTCAGAAGAGTTTCAGATCGACAGTGGCAGGTCTGATTAAAACTCCCATTTCCTGAGAAACAAAACTCCTGTACTCCTATAAAATAACCTGCTCGGCCTGGAAGTTTTCAGGAGAAGCATCAGTGTTTGTCTGGGTGTATTTGAAAGCGATAGGAATGAATATTTGAGTAGATCTAGGCAGAGGGTGGGGAAATCCTTTAGCCAAAATGACTTAATGAAATCAGACCCAAATTATGGAAATGACTTCTTGGTAAAATAAAGAGATTGCATGAGGTAAGTTTGACTAATCGAATGTCTTATTTTCTGTGTTAACACTCAATAAGAAATTTAAATATTTCTAGATCGCTTTGGAAACATCCCCTTGAGTGGAGCTAGCACACCACGGCCAGTCCAATCTCCCAAAACACTGTTTTCATTATGTCACCTCTTGTCTCTACAGATCCGATCACATTCCTTCCCAGGGTTTTTCAGGGCTTTGGGTAACTAGCCACATCTTACTAGGCCAGCTCTTCTATTGCTCCCCAACAAAGCTTTTACTCATGCTGAGCTGCCCACCACCACCACTGTCATCATTTCCATGCCAAGCTCATTCCCTCCTCTCGGCCTTTGCTCGTGTTGGTTCTTCTAGACTATCTTCCTCATTCCTCCTTGTTTATCCAAATCCAGACTTCTTGCATGACCCATCTTAAGATGCAATGATGGTTAATCTTATTATAACCATGGTGAGCTCCTGTTCTAAACACCTCAGAGGTACTAACTCGTTGAATCTTTATAGTAGCCCTCTGAAATAGATTCCTCTGCCCTCATTTTATAGATGAGCAAACTAAACAAGGAGAGGCTAAATGATCCACCCAAGATGGTATGGCTAAAAAAATACAAGAGCCAGTGAATCTATCTAGGTATCCAAGTACAGAGTCCACACCTACACACTACACTGTACTCTCTTGCTTGACCTGTAAGACTTTCTCCCCCTAGTCATGCCTCTTTATTTTTTCTCTGCATACACAGTTTACACCACTCTCAAGCACATAATTACAACATTATTTTCTGGCTGCTTCTATGTGCCTATATCTTATGTCTGGTCAATGTAATGAAGTAGGATATTAGTGTCAATACAACTCTGTGATATTTGAGGCTTGTCCCATTGTCCCATTTGTCTATACTTCTTTGTTATTTTTGTTTTTGTTTTGAGCGAGGGGTCTCACTCTATTGCCCAGGTTGGAGTGCAATGGCACGGCCATGGCTCACTGCAGCCTCAACCTCCTAGGCTCAGGCAATCCTTCCACCTCAGCCTCCTGAGTAGCTAGACTACAGGCAAATGCCACCACACCCAGCTAATTTTTGGATTTTTTTGTTTTGTAGAGACAAGGTCTCACTGTGCTGCCTAGGCTGGTCGTAAATTCCAGGGCTCAAGCACTCCTCTACTTTGGCCTCCTAAAGTTCTGGGATTACAGATGTTGAACCATCATGTCCAACTTTGTCTATGCTTCTTATAGTTTAATGTGTAATAAGTTTTTAAAAGATGACTGGTTTTGACAAAATTTGGCTCCATATTAAAAAAGAATATCAAAAATTTTTTTGTTTAATTTTAGTTGCATCTACCAGCTCAAAAAGGAATTTATAACAATAACAATTTTAAGAACATTTTAAGAATTACTTTCTTTTGAGTATAAAAATGAAAAGTAAAAAAGATATTGACTCTAATGCTATCACAGCTGGGGGGAAAAAGAAAAGTAAACAAGGGTAAAGAAAACAAAAATAATTTCTAACCCGCCTCCCAGAAGTTACTGTGATTGATACTGCAATATTGGTCAGGCCCAGCCAGCACAGGGCTCTGACACTCCCACTCTCGTTTTCTGCCATTCCAGCTCTACCTCACCCCAAAACCATCCATTGTGGGCAAAGTGTCCAGTTCTAGGCTGCCCAGGAGACATCCCACACCCTCACGTTCTGACTCAATACCGCCTTGGGAGATGCAGTCTTGGGACTTGGCCTGGGCATGTCCGTTGCATGTCCTTCTGACAGGACTTTTATTCATATAAGTATCTCCCTTCCCACCTAAGAAGAGAAGGGCTTGCTGGTTTGGCTTCACTAGCTAGCAAATGAAGCGAGACCTGACTCTTGCTAAAATGCCTAGCAGGGCTCAGTATCAACAACCACTCGGAGCTGGGTTTCTACTCCACGTCTCTGCCTCTAACTTTCTACGCAGTTCTGGGAAAGGAGCTACCCTATCTTGTTCCTGCGGAAATCTATATCCCTGTCTCCCCAGATGGGGCTTCAAGGCCTTAACCATCATATTGTGAAATGAAATGCCCAGATAAGAAATCTTCACACGTACCCCGCGATTCTAGAATAAAAAATAAACTAAGTGTATTCAGAGAGATCTCTTATCCCCACCCTTCGCCTTGGCGGATGTGGCGGTCATCAGCGTTGTCTCCCTGTGTCTTGGATCTCTTGCCTTTGTGCACAGTATAGGGTTGTACTTCTCTGAGATAAATTTGCCGTCAGGTATGGTCACGTAACCTGCTTTAGTCAACTAAGCGGAAGCATAAGTGATGTGTGTTATTTCTAAGTAGAAGATGTAAGAGTCAGCATGGGCTTTCTCGTATTTTCTTTTTCCACCTGGCATGATGACCCGCAACGTTCTAGGCAGTGATGGCTACGTTGACCTCCGGCCTTGAGAAACTAAAATCAACAGCCCCCTACTGACTCTCAGTGGACATGGAGCATGATCAAGAAGCCAACCGGCAACTTGTATGGGAGGTTGTTTAGCATAGGCACCCCAATCTCACCCTCAACCCACAGCAGCCTTCTTTCTCCCCTAGACTGAGACCAGTCAAAGTCAGAGGGAAGAGCCCAGTGGTGCAACTCATAATGTCATCTTCTTAGGGCAGGGTGGAGAATGAGTCTAGGAACTAACCGAAATAGCTGTCACAATTGGGAACTACGAGAGGTTTTGAATAGAAGAGCCCCGTGAAATACACTTCAGTGTTACTGAGATCTCTGCAGCCCAGAGAATGGAGAGGGGAGAGGCTGAAGACCTGGACTAGGTCAATGGTAGAAAGGATCTTCCAGATAGATAAGGTGTTTTTAAAAGTGGTTTCTCACTCCAGGCTATTTGAGGGAAGTTATATATTTTCTAGTCAGGGGGGAAAAAAGATTTTTCTTATCTGTGAACTTTTCTCTCCAGATCTGAACCTGTAGTCTTGGGGGCCAGGATGACCTGATGGGACGTCCTCAAGATTGATGCTACATCAGTTCTAGATTCTGAACAAGGATCCATCCGCTGGCCTGCAGAGCTTGCCATTTGCACTTTTTAAATGCCTTCGAATGACCCAGCACTTTAATCTGGAACCTGCAACGAGACTAGGCAGCACCTGACCATGGTGTGCGTGAAACACGTCAAACCACCCCTTCTGCCAGGCTCTCACCTCTGCAGTCTACGAACACACACTACGGCACTTCAGAACACGACCCCACTGGATCCCAGGCTCTAGAGTGTCTTGAGGCTCCTTCTTGCTGTCAGACTGAAAGCAAAGGGAATTATCATTTCCTGCGTTTCCAAAGCGATTTCCAGAAGTGGAGATGTGTGACGTTTCCAGTTACAGAAACAAACAGGTTGCCAATGAAGTTGTTTTTGTCTGTAGTTCCTCTGGATATTTGAAGAGTCTATGGAGACTACGTGCTCACAGATAGAGTCTGCACAAACTCATGCCATTAATTTACATGTTTTATGACTTAGTTGGATCTTGATAGCATATGAAGTTGTTCTAACCAATAGAAGACATTTCAAGTATACGTTAAGTGCACAATTATAAAGACATCAAACTTTTTAATTTTCTTAGGTCTAAATCACAAAGCTTTTGTTTTAACCTGTAATGGCGCCATATCTAATTGTGTTTTCTGTTTTGTTTTTTTTCCTTTGTGTTTGTTTGTTTGTTTGTTTAACTACACTTTTCCCTCCAAAAATTCTTGGTTTTTTTAGCCTTAGACATTTGTGAATACAGTCACAAATGCTTGGCATGCTAATATGTTGTGCCTACAGAGAGTTCAGGTGAGTAGCTATCATGGTCTAAGCCCCAAACCAAGGCTCCTTTTCTGGTCCTCTATTTGAATTTAAACTTAACCTTTCAGTGGCTGCCTTGGTTTTCACATTTGTGATAAGGCAAGACTGACCACTCAAGATTTTTGACTGCTACTATAGAAAGCCTGCGAGGTCCCACTACATGTGTGCAGAAGGGGAGAAACTCGGCCATAGCAACAGGCTAATTGTGTTAAATGTGTTCATTCTGCTAGAGCCGCAAACCTCAGAGCACTAGATGACCCACAGACTACTCAAAGGTGTGCATTAGCTAGTGTGACAGACTTCCATTAGAGGGCCTAAAGCGAGACCTTTAACTGGTACTCAGACTGAGCAGAACTTGGGGTTTATGGGGATGAAAGGGTATGAAATTGAGTAACAGATAGCTCATGTAACATCTAAGTTTCTCAAGCTTCTGTCTACACAATCAGCAAGTGCCTTTGAGAATAAAGTAATAGTTTAGTCTTCAACGTTCTTCAGCTGTTCGACTTTTGGCTAAGTGGTTCCCTCAGGGCTCTTGCAAGTCAATAAGTTTAGTATTACACTATGACACTTGGCTCCCAAAGATTGTAAACCCTTTGAGACAGACTTGGATCCCTCCTTCAGCAGGATGGGGTCCCAGGGGTGCTTACCAGGCCCTATGTCTTGATCCAGGGTTTCTGCTGAAAGGACAGCATCAGTGCTGCCGAGGGCATGGCAGCAGACAAGGCCTTTTCCCCGGGGAAGTAAGCCCATCTACAGCTCAATGTTTCAATTATATTAGGAATAGTTTAATTCTATCAGGAGCTTATTTCTCTTAAGTTAATTCTATTATTGGCATAATGGCTTCTGTCAAAATTCTTCCATCTTTGTTCCTATATTGGGGCTGATTTCTAGACTGCCAAAGAGGGAGAGGGCTACCTAGCTTCAGTGTCCTGAAATCCAGGTTTGATGAGGGAAGAAGACCATAGGGCATTTCATCTCAGCTTGAGAAATGTTTGACACTACATCATGCTATCTCACCACCACGTTTGTCAAGAACTTATTACATGCCCAATGTTGTGAAGCATTTCATGCATACTATTGGAATGAATCCTCTCAAAGACCTCTGAAAAAGTCACTGTTAATGTCTCCATCTTACAGATAAGGAAACCGAGGCAGAGGGAGGTTAAGCAATTTTGTTAACCCTGCCTATTCAGTTTGAGAGGAATAGAGCCAGGGCAATGAGCCCATATCCATTCCCCTCATCACGTGCCATGGCTTCCTACCAGTCTGGGCTTTAAGGCAGGACGTTGCTGGCTGCTTACACCCTGAGGTCTCTACTGGTCAAGGATTAATTTCACTCTTACACCTTCTGGGGAGAAAGCTGTGGAAGGGTGAGTGGAGTGTGGGTTCTGGCATCAATGGTTCAAACCCCAACACAACTATGTATGAGTTGTACAACTTTGAATATATCAGCTGACCTCTCTAAGCTTCAGCTTCCTTATCTACAAAATGGGTGATGTTAAAAAGGTCCTTGGCACCTTCCTTGGTCAGGCACACAGTGTGTGTGGCACATGGTCAATGTCTGATAAACATCAGGCGTCACTGGTAACCCCCTATGTACCAGCCACATCCCTTGCCAAGTGGAGCCCAGGACATTATCAAGTTAATCTATCTGCAGGAGATTTCCCTTAGGGAAGCAGCAAACTATGCTCTCCAAGAAATTTTTCAGCATTAAGTATATCCGATGGGTTTTGTGTCCCAGGACTCTCCCGGACATGCCACATCCTCCAGCAAAGCCAGACGTCCATTGGTTCTCAAGTCACCTCATGCTGCCCTCTCCTCCCAGAATTCCCCCTTTCTGGGGCATCAGTTCTCCCTGGAAAAGCCTGTCCATCCTGCAGGCACCTGCTCCGCCAGTGAAGATTTTCTGGTTTTCTCCAACTGAGTGTGAGCTTGCTTTGCTTTGGGCACAGCAATCTTCCTCGCCCCTCTCTGAAAGCGCAGTCTTTCTCCATTCCTTATCATGAGGATTTGAGCACAGGCTTTATCTTCCCCTTGAACTCCTAGAGGCCAGGGAGTGGGAGAGGCAGTGCAGGTACTCCAACAGTAACTTGTACCTGACAGGCACCTCAGGCATGGCTGCTCTGCGGCTCGTTACGTACTGAAAACCGCGGCTACAATTAACACCCAACTTTTTATGCCCTTGACATGATTGACCAAAAGGCATATAATGGCAATCCTTAAAATAAAATAACTAGATGAGTCCCAAGTCTTTAAAAAAGGGCGGGAACCTTTTGCAAATGGACAAAAATTAACATTCAGGAGAGTTTGAGGAACTGAGAAAAACCAAACAAATAAAAATCACCTATGATCTCATCATCCAACCACAATGTTTTCATTTTTGCTGTTTGTTTTTGCTCTTTTTTGGCAACAGCTAACAGCTATAATTTTTAAAAAGGCATCGTCTACCGTGGTCTCACACTTCTGCTGTTGACAGGTCTTTCCAGTTATCTTTGTTCATTGTTGTTGAGTTGGGGGTCTCACTCTGTTACCCAGGCTGGAAGATGTGGCAGTCATGACTCACTGCCACCTCAGCTCCTGGGCTTAGGCAGTCCTTCCACCTCGGCCTCCTGAGTGGCTGAGACTACATCACCCCTCCCGGCTCATTTTTTGATTTTTCTGTAGAGACGAGGTCTTACTACGTTGTCTAGGCTGGTCTTGAACTCCTGGGCTCCCGCAATCCTTCTGCCTCAGCCTCTCAAAGTACTGGGATGACAGGTGTCAGCCACCAAGCCCGGCCTAATTACCGGTTTTAATAACGGCATATAACATTTTACTGAGCAGCTGTAACGGTGTAACTAACCATTCCCCGATTGACAGAAGGTTCGGCTGCTTCTGACTTTCTCGCACTTCAGTTGAAAGCTTTTGTGCCGGACAGCTTCCTGTGGTTCCTCCAGGCCACTCTCCAGCCTTCTCCACCCTGCTCTGTGACCCCAGGCAGACTTGGATGACTGTGCCGATGGTTCTGGCCCTCTGGCTTCTGGTTGGGTTCAGCCAACGGAGACACTGGCAGGAGGTCAGAGGATGGGAGGAGGGGGATGCAGGTGCATCTATTTCCCGGGCTCTGCCTCTCCAGGATCACTACTGGCTAGATAAGTCTCTCAACCAAAGATCACAGTTCCTTTCCGAAGGACACTTTCCACACAACTCCATCTGCCTCTGGGTTCCAGCGACTGCTCTCTCCCCTCCCCTTTTCAGGGTTGGCTGCTGCCTTGTGCCCCCAGCGCACGCGTGCGCGCGCGCGCGCACACACACACACACACACACACACACCTGTTCCTGCCAGCCCTGGGGTCCATACCCTTCCTTAGCGCTCCTCACACCCACCCCACACCTCTGCAGAGAGTCCCGTAACTGAATACTCCTTAAATTATCCAGCCCATTATCTGATCTGTCATGCTGTTTCAAATAATGCGTGTCTTTTTACATCTAATTTCATTAGGATGGGCCCCTGGAAAGGGAATTATTCAAAGAATATGAATGCTTTTCAGGCTCTTGAGTCAACTTGTTTTTGAAGAGGATCTGTTCGCATCACTACAAGTGCATCTTTCCGGCACTGGGTATTTAAAAAATATAATTTTGCTTATTCGTCAGGTTTAAAAAAATGGCACTTTGTAGAAACTGAAGCCTTCATGCCTTGGATGACTTTCAAGTTTGCTTCTAAATGGTAGTTCTTCCTGTGCTCATTGTTACTTTTGTCATTTGTCCATGTTTAAATGTGCTCCTTCCCGCCCCCCTCGTTCTCTGGTTGTGTGTTCTATTTCCTTAATACTTCAATTTTTTTAACATTTTAAAGCCGCAGTGTCTTCACCTATATATTGATGTCCAAACAATAATACCTCTTTCACAGGATTATTGCAATAATTAAATGAAAATAATCGCCTGCTATATATAAAGCATCCAAGAAACATTAATTATTTTCTCCTTAAGAAATATGTATTGAATTCAATTAATAAATTATGTCTTTTTTGACAAAAATGGTATCAACTTTCTTTCAAGTTTATATTGATACTTACTTCCTGAAATAGTACTACAGATTATCTGAACAGTTCAGTATTATTCAGATTTGTTTTTCTATTATGTGACTTGAAGAGATTCTTAACCCTTTTAGCTAAAAGCATCAAAAATTGTATTTAAAAATTATTTGTATTGTTTTTGAAGTAGTTAAGTAAAATAGGCTCTGATTCATACGAGTTTTTCAGTTGAGAAAGTAGCTGCAATTCTCCAATTCTCTGGTGACTCTGGTCTGGTTTCTACTCTACAGATCAGGTCATGCTTAGGTAGGCTACCCATCAGTTTAGTTGTTTGGGCCAACCACCACCAAAAATTCCTGTGAGTCAAAAATCTGATTGTTACTCTGGGATCTCATCATCTTTACTGAAATCAAGAAGCCCCTCCAGAAGGCCAGTATCTCTGAGCATCGTCCTTGACCCACAGAAAACAGAAAACAGCCACCTGAGAGCGTTCAAGGCTGCTGGGGCTCCTCTCGTTTCATGGAGCATTTCTCCATGTTTCAGTGAAGGAACTACTCCTTGAGTCCTTCCAGGGCTAAATGGGGCAAGGGAAGATGAGCAATTGTAGCACATCTTGAATTACTCCATCATCTCTATCTCCCTAAGTCTATAGACTCCTTCCTACATTTCATTCCAGAGAAATTCTGACAACTCCGCACCTCCGAGCATAGCCTCCGAAGAGTCCAGGTTTGAGCCAATCAACTAAGCAAATAGAGTCATTCTCAGCCACTCTAGCAAATATACTTGTTTCACCTGACTTTAGTTATATAGCAAACTGTCGAAAACGTTGGGGTTTACAATTATTTATGTTTTTATGATATTGTAGGTTAACGATTTGGGCTGAGCTCAGTGGGGGCAACTCACTTCTGCTCTGTGTGGGGTCACGCATGTGCAATCAGTTGACAGTTTGGCTGGGGGGGGCTTGTTGCAGATGGTTTCATTCGTGTCTCAGATTCCACTGGTGCTGGTTGTTGGTTGGACCACATGTCTCCCTTAGGTTAGCCTGGGCTTCTTCCTCGTGGAAGTTGTTTCAAAAACAGCCAAAAAAGAGAGAAAGTGCTTTTCATGTCTCTGTTTGCATCACGTTTGCTAATAACGTCCCGTTGTCCAAAGCAAGTAAATAAGCACCCCAAGAATTAAGGTGTAAAGGGGTTACATTAGGGCAGTATATACAAAGTAGCATGATTTCTTTGGGGCCATCACTGTCACAATCTACAATATTAAACCAAAAATATATGGAAGAGTATTACAGCAAGGACACCTAAATTTGGCCCCAAGCCAGTGTTGTAGTCTGTTCTCCTTGGTCTAATACCTTTAAGCTTTACTCCATATATATTAGCCAGGTTTCTTCTAATGTACATTTCACAAATTGTTGTGATTCTTTGGGTGTACAAGCCTTCTCCTCTCAAGCCAGACTGCCCCTGTGCCCTTGAAGATGCTGAGAACTGACTCTGGTTAAAGGTCATGAGAGTTGGGAGCACTGGGGTTGAAGAAAAGCAGGAATCTCCCTTGCCAGACAACTGCTCGCCGGGGGTTTCTTACCGAGCTTCCAGCAAGGGAAGGCCGGCAGCATCAGCCAGGAAGGGAGAGGCTCTTCCGCTCTCAGGGAAGTCCAGGGATGCTCGTGGGGTTCAAGATCCTCCGTCTCATCCACATTCGCCCAGGTGGCCCCATTCCTAGTCCCAGAGTCCTACTCCTTCCAAGTTATTGACCAAATGTTCACATACGAAACTTGGCCAGTTTTGTGAATGACGGATCTGGGTCTGACTTCTTTTCAGCCATGCCCTTATTACCAGACGATACAAGAGCCGCGTTTAGGGCAGCCCTCGGGTGCTCTGAATATGATCTGAAGTGAAAGTCCTAAACTTTTTATTTCCTTCCTGCAAGCACCGTAGTGCAATCAGAATCAGCCAGCCTACCTTACATTTCTTATAATCAGCTTTACTACCAAAATGATCATAAGCAGTAGCATGTGACTTGGTCTCCAAAAGGTTGCTTTCCACTGGCCATCAACTCTAGCAATAATAGATGATAATTTAATCAATCGTGATGCCATTGCACGCCACAGAGTACCAGTATTCCATGCTCCACTGGCAAAGAGTTCAGCTGTTAATCCAAACCAATCTCAGAATTCTGTTTCCTAGAACCACACCTAGTACCGTGTCAGCCAGGGCCCAGTCATAACAATAGAGAGTATTTAATATTAGGAATTTATAATAAAAATATAAAGATAGGAGATGGAAAGAACAAAAAATGGATACCAAATATTAATACTGCAATATTAAGACTGCAGAGATCGCCAGCTTTTCTGCTACCTGCTGCGAAAGGCATGATTCATTCAGGAACTGGGAACAGGAGGAAATTGCCACCTCCCATCTTCCAGTCCCCAGGGACTTCCCATTTACTAAACTTAACAGGAAGCTCGTTGGCAAGAGAGGTTGGCAAAAGAAGTCTACAAAATTCCAGCCCTAGCATAACAGAGCACAGGAAAGGAGGACAAGCTGAGAGCTGAGGATAGGAGATAAATAACCAACTCACTCCCTGATCAAAATCTACCTGGTTAGGCTGGGTGCAATGGCTCACACTGTAATCCTAGCACTTTGGAGGTCAAGGTGAGAGGGTTACTTGAGGCCAAAAGTTCGAGACCAGCCTGGGTAACACAGCAAGACCTTGTCTCTACAAAAAATAAAAAAAATTAGCAAGGAAGGGTGGCGTGAGCTACACAGGAGGCTGAGGCAGGAGGATCACTTGAGCCCAGGAGGTTGAGACTGCCGTCAGTTGTGATCATGCCACTGCATTCCAGCATGGGTGACAGAATGAGGCCCCAGTCAAAAACGCAAACAAACAAACAAAAAAAAAAAAAAGAAAAGAA